AGTAATTGATTTTTAAGAGTAAATTCATGGGATGAAGTAACCGGAGCATACGCTCGTTCTAAAGACAGCCATATCTCTCGAGATGTTTTGCCCTGAATATGTTGAAAGGACTCTTCTGACACAGTAGAGATGATGAGCATACGGATGTGAGCGTCGTTGGAGACCCATGGTTGGTAGCTTGGATTGTCAGTTGTAGCAGATCCATTTGTAACCTTCGATTCTGGACAGGAAATAGTGCCATCAATGTAGCCAAAAAGATTGTGAGAGGTAAGAAAAGATTCGACCATTGATCGCCAATAGCCATAGTTCGTGGGTTTTAGGGTGAAGGCAAAATTGTGAGAATTATGGGTTGTTTTCTCTTGATTAGTGAGAGTTATGATTGCGGCCATAGTAGCTTGGAAGAGGTGACAGCTGGAAGAATGCCGCTGGAGGTTTGTGACAGTTGGAGGAGTTGTCGGGGGTTGCGTCGGCTGTCTAAAGGTCGTCGGAGGTTGGGAATGGTGCCGCCGGAAGTTACGTCGGTCAGGCTGGAGGTTTTGTCGGCTGAATTGAAGCCAGAAAAAGAAGGGATTTGATTGGCTCTGATACCAAATCAAACCTTGAATTTATTGATTTTATTGTATATTTAAAATACATAATACATGCCCTATATATAGGACAGATAATTACACTTTAATACCCTAAGCAGTTACACTTTAATACCCTCAACAATAAGGTTATTTAACTTAGTCTAACATGTTTGATTGTTTTTCATTAAATTCATTATGAATAAAGTTGTTTGTGTTGATTAATCTGTCTGTATAGATTGGAAAGGTATGGAAGGAAGGTGTTTTTCAATTGGAAGGAGCATGTTTGAAAAAAACTTGGGCTTTCTGCATAAAGCTCCCCCTAGAAGTTTACTGAATAAGCCACTTTCTATATCATTAAGCCACTACCAAAGAGTCATGTATAGCTGACCAAATAAGCTGTGAGTCACATTAAGCTGCTAACAAAACAGACCTAAGATAGTTCAGAAGGCCAATCACACCAGATATCTATAATACTTTTAATAGATGTTTTCAATCCAAATAACACCATCAATCTATTTGTAATGATGATTATGGTCGTACGTAATTTTAACATGGAAATCTATGCAAAAATGAAATATTGCAACTTTCACTAGCGGAGGGCGTGCTTCTTTCTAGAACAAATAAATGAACCAAAAATCTATGTACAATGAGCCATATGATGTTTAAGCTAATCAAATATCTAGAATACCCTTCAATAAAAGCAGCTTATGGTTATGGACCCAAGTCAATATTTTAATTTATATACGAGAAATTAACAAAAGTAGCCATTTTGGTCAAGAAAAATTACATCGGCCATTTCTCTCCCACTTTTTCAACAAAAACACCACCTCCACAAGTAACACTTCCTCAACGTGTGGAGGGGCCAAAAAACCAATTTTCTGAACTTCCGCAAGTAACACTTCCGCAGGTTGAGGAAGTATTTAGACTAATTTACAGATTTGGTCCCTGTAATTAAACTAATTTATAGATTTGGTCACTGTTGCAGATGTGTTACTTGCGAACCATGTTCAAAATTATTTTTATTTTTTGACCCCTCCTCAAGTTGAGGAATGATTACTTGTTGAGGTAGTGAATTTGTTGAAAAAGTGGGAGAGAAATAGCCAACAAGTAAATTTGGTAAGTCAAAATGGCTATTTGTGCCATTTTCCCGTTATATACTCCCTCCATCTCAAAATAAACGTCCTCAATGAAAAAGACGCATGATTTTAAAAACGTGTAATTATTACATATTTTAATTAACTAAATAACGATTTTACCCTTAATAAAGATAGCAAAGGAAGTAATGAATTTCTCCATATCATAATTAAGGGTATAAGTGGAAAGTAGACACTTATCCTGAGACAAACTAAGAGAGAAATGTGGACACTTATTTTGAGATGGAGGGAGTATAACAATAAGGTCCCATTTGGTTTGAGGGATTTGAAGGGATTTGGAACTGAATTCTATTCCAATCCTATGTTTGGTTTGAAGGAATGCTTGGATTTAAAATCCCGGGATTTCATTGAAATCCCACAAACATGGGATTTAGAAATCTAATGAGGACAGTTGGTATTTTGTGGGATTTCATAAGATTTGTTTGTAATAACGTTTTAAAATATGTTAATAACAGTTGTTTTGTAATAATCAAACTTGTTTCTACAAATTATTTATAAAGCATGGAATTCAATTCCATTCCAAATCCTACACACCAAAGATTCCAAATCTTTCCATGAATTCCAAATGCCTCAAAAATATTCTATTAGATCAAACGGGCCCTAGAAGATTCGATTTGGAATTGAATTCCATTCCAATCCCATATTTGATTTAAAGTATTTGAAATCCTAGGATTTAAACAAGGGATTCTGAAATCCCACAAACAAGGGATTCTGAAATTCCAAGGGGGTGGTTGGTATTTGACGGAATTTCGTAAAATTTGTATGTAATAATGTTTTAAAATATGTTAAAAACATTTGATTTTAATAATCAATAAATAAAAAAGTAATTTAATTCTTATTTATAGTTATTCATGATCTGTTTTTTATAAATTAATTTTAAAGAATGGAATTCGATTCCACTCCAAATCCTACAAACCAAACACACAAAAGATTCCAAATCCAAATCCCTCCTAATCCAAATCCTTCCACGAATTCCAAATCCCTCAAAAACATTCGGTCAGATCAAACGAGTCCTAAGTTATTTCTAGAGCAGAAATAAGGAACATAATGTCTTTCTAGAACAAGCCATATGGTCTTTAAGCTAACCTAAAATCTAAAACTACATGAACTTGTAACAAGAAAACTAACTTTAGAAATAAAAAAATGCGATTAAATGACTCACAATTGTCTCACATGCGTTTTCATTGGCTTCTTTTGACATATCTAGCTGTTTGAAAACCCGTGCCCACTGAACCTTAGGAGCAGAAAAAATCATGTTGGCACCTGAAACCAATCTAATAGTTCGCTTATCAAGTAGATATGAAAGGGTTCTCGTTCGCCAATTATTCCACCTGATTGAAATCATCAATCACATTTCGAGCATTAGTACAATCATAGAATGTTCTATGAAAAAATATGATGATTAATGAACACCATAAGAAGAGGCATTAGCTATGAAGATGATGTACATTTTTCAAACCAAATCAATACCTTAATGACAAAATAAGAGAATCTTGTGAACCAAAATTACTGTTATCGGTATTTGATAATGATTACTAATGGACAAAGAGGTAGTTTATGTTGAAAATTTACCAAAAAAGTGAAGACTTTACAGTTGCATTGGGCAATCACAGAAAGAAATTGTTGCACTTATTTTACAAATTTGTGATGGGTTTTGCCACGGTAACTACCAGTTTTCTAAAAAGGTGAGCCATGGCATGAGGTGCGTCTCCAACATCCCGTTATCCCCATGGCGGCTGTGTAAGGCGAGGCGCCTGCTGCCATGGCGTAATCATTTTTGGAGAGTTCTTCATATTTGGAGAATTTCACATTCTCGTTCATGCTCTCTCCATTTTGGAGGAAGTTTTTGGGAATCTGTTGGAGCAAAAAATTGCCCAAAATCTTCGTTTTCTCCATTTTAGAGAATCAGTTGGAGATGCTCTTAGATTACAGGTATGTGGAACCAGGCGAAAGATCATGTGAGAAGGTAAGTTATAGTGAGAAGCGTAAGAAGAGATCTAAACCCTTGACCACTTTTAATCCATGCCCACCCCGGCACCCATGAATAGCGCTTTAGAAGAGAATTGGTCTGGTGCATCTCGGTGCACCTCATCAGTGTCGACCTCCAATTAAGATTGATCCAAGGGTGAAAATCTCTTCTTATGCTTCTCACCATAACTTCCCTTCTCACCGGAACCCAACCCTGTGGAACCATTAGTAGAATATATTTTTTTGTTATGAGCTCTTGATATAACATTTTTTGTAAGCTCTATTCTATGTATATGATATTAATATATATTTTTTCTTCTTATAAATATTTAAATCGTTTAATATCATGGACTACTTCAGAGTTAGTAGAAAACATATTTGTGTGGGTATATAATATAATTATATATATGATAATACAAACTTGTCCCCTTAAGCCACACCTTGAAACAGGAGTCTAGTCGTGGCTCCTAAGGCTTGAGGCTCGACCTCACCGCCACCCCACAGCAGACCTCATATGGTTTAGAGCCTTGGAATTAACTACATTACCCCTACATCAGTTTCCAAAGAAAATATCACTTACAAAGAAACTGTTGAATGATTTTGTTGTACTTGAAGCAAGTCTTCGTGAAGCTCATTCCAGTTTCCTTGTGTTGTGATCTTAGCAACAACATCCACACTTGTCTCCATCATTGAAGCGCATGAAACTGCACGTTGCCTTTTCATAATTCCCCGAATAGCAAATGCTGTCAACTTGATTTCCGTGCTGTTTTTAGCCTTTTGATGTAAAATGTCATCAAAACAAGAAAAGGGCAAAAAGTCCATCAAACCCTCCTCGATAGAAACTTGACTCCTTTTTTGCAGCGTCAACTTTTCAAGATATATATCCACGTAGTTGGTTTCTGTTCTCTGAAGTTCATCAAGATCCATTTCGATGGTTGCTTTTAAAACGGCTTTGAGATGTGTATCCCTCATTGGTAGAGTGCGAATCAGATGTTCTACTATAAAAATTCTTGATTTACTAAGAGTAGCAGATGATATACGTGTAAGACCCTGCTTTACATAATGGTAGCCCAGGGTCAGACAGGGGCAACAAGAGAGTTGTGGAAAACAAAAGGGCAAATTGCATGAAAATGCAACGTACCTTGATTTGATTCCTATTTTGTGTAACGTATTTTCAAAACCTTCACTTTGGTATCTCAGACGTGATATCTCAAACATTTAGACCAAATTACGTTACACAAAATAAGGATTGGACCACAAGATGCTATATTTTCATGCATTCTTATATGTAAACTAGGTGCCTAAATGTTTGGGATGTTTCATGTACCAAATTGAAGATCTTGGAAGCACGTTACAGAAAATATGAATTGGAATAAAGTACGTTGCATTTTCATGCAATTTGCCAAAAACATAACTAAAAAAAGTTATGAGAAGTTCCCACCTGTGGAAATTGAGGATCAGACGTCAGTTTGGATAAGGCTGCATCAAATTCATTTATGGAGTCTTGGTTTCCGTCCATGCTTATGAACACCTAAATGAGAGATAATCAGATATATATATACACACACACATATGCTTCTCATAACACCCCATTAGGGGTAAAGGAGTCGCTACTGTTGCAAAGATATGATGATTTCTCAATCCGAGGCATGGGCTATTTAGCTGAATGACCTTCTCAAAAACTGAATTTAAGAATCTAACCCTCTACTGTATTTCCAGATTCTTAATTGGACCTGTTTTGAACCAGAGGCAAGTCAAATGAAAGTCATTGAACTAAAAAAAAATTAGAACGTCATATTCCTAATTCAAAACTCATTTAAGGTCGTTTATCCAAAGGACCTGGTCATACTCATGGTCAACAATTCATAGATACAATCAACACCAAACCGATGGAGCACCCTCTATGGGGGTTCAGCAAGGGCTAGCACCTATGCTTCCAACATTTAACTTAAACTTACTACCACATAGCAAAAATCACCATAATCATATAGCTCGAGTTGTTGCCTTCAGCATATAGCTCAGTTGGCAAAGGGGAGGTGCAACTTTGGCTAAATACAAAACATGTCCCAGGTTCGATCCTCTCCCCTCCCCCACGACCCGCTGAGTGAGCCAAAAATACCCCATCACATTGGTTTCCTTGGAGACGGGTCCTCTGTGGGGACAGCTGGGGTTGCCAGAAATCAATTTTTTGGCCAAATATGGCTTGAGTTGTTCCCTCCTACTGTGTACACATAAAGACCTCTAAGACCTAACGAAATGCACATCAACATATAAATGTACAACTACAAATGCAAAAGATCGACTAAAATAGTCCATTCGAAGGCCCTTCTGCGCCCCCTCATTCAATATTTCATCTTCAAGGGATCAATAAAGCACCAGGATAAAGTAATCAGAAACCCTAAATTAACGCAATCAACAATAAACAACAATTCAAATCCCTTCATATTTCATAACATCGATTTATGTATTACATAAGATATATATAATTCGGGATTACTTCATTCTATTTGAACAATTTTGAATTCGAACAAACCCTTTTGCACAAAATTGTCGTAATCTCATGTTCTGCAAACTACTGAAACTTATTACAAAAATAAAACACGAAACATGCTTCATCAGACTATGGATTAATATAGAGTTTTTTGGATTTAAAGTATGGAAGGGAAAACTGGATTTACTCACATTCTCGAAGAAAAGACCCCATTGGAAAGCTTTTTTAATGTTTAGCGGATCCCAATGAGCAAAATGACCAGATGATTGATAGCCAGAAGCTAAGATGATGATATCAACAAACCCTTTGATCAGTTTCAATAATTCTTGCAGTGATATCTCTGGGTGGCACCACCCACCCATCTTCTTCTCTTTTCCCGCCCAAGATCGAATGGTTCTATATGTATTCTAGAGTGAATTACACTTTTGGTCCCTGTGGTTCACATCCACTAGCAAATCTAGTCCCTATTTTAAACTAATTATAATTTTAGTGACATTAGTTGTATTTTGCTTCAATTTTGGTATCTCATACTAACTTGTGTTAAAAAAAAGCTGTTAAATCCATGGTTGTTAAGAAGAGATCTGCACCGGTAGATGAATCATAATTGAATATCGATACTAATGAGATGCATTGAGATCCACCAGATCAATTCCCTCCTAAAATGCTATTCATGGGTAGGCGTTAGATTAAAAGTAATGCAGGGTTCAGATATCTTATTACGCTTCTCACCATAACTTTTCTTCTGACACGATTATTCGCCCATATATATACACACACACAATAAAGTTACTAATGTAATGCAGCGAGATATTTTTCGATTTTAGTGTTTTGTTTTATTTTTTCTTTCTGTCAATACAACACGGTTCTATGTGATTTTGAGAAAACGATAATGTTCTTATTTTTGAATAAAATATAAACATAATTATACCATAACGATAATTTTATTTTATCTGACCTAAGAGTCTGAATAACATAAATAACCGATTTACCCCCCAATATTAAAAAAATCATAAAAAGGCCGACGATGGATGTCTCTTCAGAGAAGGAGGCGATGCTTTAAATAAGGGGTAGGGATGTCATTTTTGTGGCTGAATGGAGGCAACACACCATTTCTATCTGTGCAAATAAGCCGTAAGTAAACAACTCAAATGAGTTGTTCGAATAAGCCAGATAGACCAATAAGCTACTTAAGCCACAAGTAAACAACCCCTTAACGAGCTTATGGAAGTCACAACTTATTCGGTCAGTTATACATGATTTTTTGATAGTGGTTTAACCAGTAAGCTTCTGGAGGATTAATGCATACAACCAAGTTTTTCCTAAACTTGACACTCCCAATTAAAAAAACAAGCTGCTTCCATCTATGAAAAAATTATCCCAAATAAAAACCTCCTCAATCCTTACATACAAATTAATCTATAAAAAGCTTAATGAAAAACCATCCAAACAGCCGAAACAAAAGGACGACGATGGATATAAATTCCAAGAAATGATTCACACTTGATATCCAACATTTCAACTACATAAGTTCCGATTTAAACCGAATCAGGCAACATCAAATATCATAGCATCCAAGAATGAGTAACCAAAAGCTATTAGAGATTTTAGAAAAATTGAGTCAACTCATGCTGGCTCGTTCAGATTACAGCAACTCCTTAGTTTCAACTTCACCTTCTTTTTCTAGATCCTGCACAAAAATAAATCAAAAGGATGAACTAACAACTAAAGAAAAGATTAAAAAAAAAAATTAACCCCTCGATCCCGTCAACAATTTCCCATTTCGAAAGTCTTTCGAGTTCCAAAAACGTATTCATCGTTGCAAAAAGGAGAGGTTTGGTTCACGCAGTGTAATGAAAATGAAAACGACTGAGAAAGAAAATGGAAATGAATATTCATTTCCCAAGTTTAACCTGGAATGAAAATTTGGGCTTCCAGGGGAATGAACTCATTATATTATATAAAACTAAAAAGTTTCTTTTATTTTCATTTTCATTAATTATTGTTTTAATATCTTTAACCAAACACCCCCTTAATTGATATGATTGATTTGGGGGTCGACAAGATTATCTAGTTACCACCAATTGGCCAAACGGTGCCACCGAGCGAGCTCTACAACCTTTTCAAGTCTCCTTGAGGACATGGGCACGTGAGTTGATTTGTCGTTTAAGAAAAAATATCAGCTTACGGTCAATATAAGGGTATTTTAGGTATTTTGACATATAGTCCAACAATTTTGTGGGTTCACTGAGGCTGTAAGGTGTTGGGTTAAGTCCCGCAACGAGCGCGCTTATTCCTAATAAGACTGCTAGAGGTCTATTGCGAAAAGAAAAGGAAAAATACGAAGAACGCACTTACTACTGGAAGGTTTTATGCTACGGCAGAATCGACTACCACATCTGCACTCAAATGCCTTGACAGGATGTTGATCATCATCAAAATCAATATCATAATCCTGTAACAACCTCAAATACATTCAATTAAGAACAATATATACATGTATATATATAGGGAGGTTCAATTACAAATTTAAGTTCCGTTATGAACCGGGGAACAAAAAAGAATAGCGGACTATTCATACTGAACGGTAACACCATCATGAATATTGTAAAAAATTCATGTTCATTATTCATGATGAACGGGAACAAATGGAGACACATGTCGGTCTCTCCTTTGTCCCCCCAGTTCACGAGTCAAGTGGCGGACTCAGGTGCACCTTTAAGGTGGATCAAAAGTCCACAAAATCACAGTTTGACCTAGGAAGAAAGTCCAAGACAGTTTGACCTAGGGACAAGTCAAATTGGTCAAGTTGAAGAACAAGATACAAATTTTCACATGGAATCGACCCTGATCCTTAAAGTAAATAAATGTTGCCTTGAAGATGAGATAAAAAGCGACAATGAACTGACAGTGGGAAGAAAAATAGATCATGAAAAATAAAATAAAATAGGAGAAGTATAAACAAGAAGTTCCATTGGCACAGTGGTAGTAATGCCTATAATTGTACTTGAGGTTGTTAGTTCAATTCTTCTAACTATATTTTTGCTGCTATTTTCAAAAATAGCATTGTAGGGCCCGACTAAGTGCTTTGGGCCAGCCCTTGAGCCTAAAATTATAAGATAAAAAAGTAAACTTTCACCTAAAAGATTCAAACACATGACCTCTTGTATATAAAGTGATAATCGAACCATCCTACCTGTGTTCAATTTCTGTTATAGATTTGGTTCAGGGTATTTAAGGGCACTTCTCAAAATCAAGCGGGTGCACCTTTCAAACGGCTATTTTTTTTTGCTCTTGCAATTATCGAGTGAGCGGGTGCACGGGAGCTTGCTCAGCTCCTAATAGCTCCACCCTTCTCTCTCTCTCTCTCTCTCTCTCTCTCTCTCTCTCTCTATATATATATATATATATATATATATATAAACATCCATGATATATAACAATAAAAGGAACAGAAACAGTGCTCAGAAAGATAAGAAAAAAAACCAGCCGTATAACTGCAGAAATTCAAAGCAACAGCAGCCAACTCACCCGAGTTAACTCTTCAAAAGCTTTCACTTTTCTTGTAGTGAAGAAAGCAAGCTGTCAATTAGGACCAGATAAAATATTTACTTATAAGGATTACGTGCCAATATGTAATAACGTAGAAGCAAAAGATCATTGAGAACGAGAAGTGTATATATTACATACATGATAGTAATGCCGATCGGGATTCTCCACTTCCACTGGGATCTCAACCAAATTTGGATCGAAACACCTAACAAAAGAAGGAACAATGTGTTGCCATTTTATCCTCATATATTTCATATATGATGGTAATTAGTTGGATACACTTAATAAGTAACACAGCAATTTTAACATGTTAAAATTTAAAAGCTATAGCTGAACAGAAATGACAAGTACATAAACATACAAATCTGGAATGAAATGAATAGTACTACATTTTCCGTCCCACAATAAATATCCACAATGGAAAAGACACAATTTTAGAAATGTGTAATTATTACACTTTTTAATTAACTAAATGACGATTTTGCCCTTGGTAATAAAGGGAGCAATAAATTTCCCCATCTCATAATCAAGGTTAGAATTAGAAGTAGACATCTACTTTAGAAAGTGGACATTGATTTGAGGACAAACTAAGGGCCTGTTTGTTAGCAGCTTAATGAGCATAACGAGAGACAACTTATTCTGTTAGCTATACATGCTTGTCTAGTATTGCCTTAATGAAAAAGGAAGTGGCTTATTGAGTAAGCTTCAAAGGGGAAGCTTTATGCAGAAAACCAAGTTTTTTCCAACCCCCCCCCCCCCTCCCAATTAAAAAAACACGTTCCTTTCATCCATGAAAAACTTTTCCAAGCAAAAATCTTCCCATATCTATGCAGACAGATTAATCCGCACAAACATCTTTATCCATATAGGACTTAATGAAAAACCAACCAAATAGATAGAAATGTGGACACTTATTTTGGGGCGGTGACATCATTCTCAACATAAAGTCCCAAGGTATGGAAACCCAAAAAGCAGGAGTATCTAACAGAAATCCGTGAGAAAAATATGGTCAAGTTCGGCTTTGTAGGAATAAGCATACCTATGATTGATGAATCTAGCCACATTTCCATAATGTGTGGCATCCAAACAAAGAGCTTCTTCATCTTTCAATTCACTCTCTGCACCCCAATCAGCATCAAGCAATACTGGATGTGCATATTCATTTTTGTTGGAATTTTGTGAAACTCTATTATAAAGTTCCATGTTGGTTAACACTTCTCCAACATATTCACATATGAATGCACCTTTTGGTAGGTCCTCAAGGGTGCGAAGACCCCACCCTTTTCCTTCAGCTGTCATGAACACCTAGAGGAAAGAGAGAAAACGATTAATACAAATTAATGTAGAACCAAACTAAACATAGAAATTACATCCCACTTGAAAGCAAGGTGTAGGGGGTAAGATATATGCAGACCCTCCTCTATCCCAAGGGGTGGAGAGGCTGTTTCCATTAAGACAAGACAAGAGAAACAGAGAATTTGTCAAAATGTTTTCTATTTTGTCCCAAAATAAGAGGCCACTTTCAAAGAAAGTAACTACTTTTCCCAATACTATCCTTAGGGTCTGTTTGTTAGCAACTTAGGCTTAATGGAATTCACAGATTATTTGATCAGCTATAAATGACTTTAGTAGTTGGCTTAATGATATAGAAAGTGGCTTATTCAGTAAGCTTCTAGAGGGAAGTTTTATGCAGAAAGCCAAGTATTTTCCAAACATGTCCTCCCAATTAAAAAACACGCTCCTTCCATCTATGAAAACCCCCTCCCAAACAAAAACCGTCCCTATCTATACAGATAGATTAATACACCCAGACAGCTTTGTCCGTACAAGACTTGATGGAAAACCAACCAAACATCCCCTTACTCTCTATTATTAAGGGTAAAATTGCCCTTTAGTTAAATAAAAAGGTGTAAAACTGTGTGCCCTTTTAGTTGTAGACATTTATTTTGGGACGGAGGAAGTATAGATTAGTAAAAGATGTAAAGCTAAAAGAACCTAAAGGTAATAAAAGAGGGAAAACTTTCTACTGTAATGCATGGCTGCCCATCCACGTCCCCACTTCCCAAGAGAGGGGGCAGTGAAGGTGTAAACAAGTCGAGCTTTTAACGAGCTACTCGAGCTCGTTTATTTTGAGCTCGAGCTTAATAATTCTCGAGCTCGAGTCAATCTCGAACACAAAATAGAACTTGTTTAAACTTAACTAGTCAAGCTTCATAAAACCAATGCTCGACTCGGCTCGTTCTAGAGGTCGATTACTTTTTTTTGAGTTGAGTCGAACCGAGCCATTCGAGCGTATACTTTTCAGGGCCAAAGATGCTCATATGTTCATAAATAATACAATAAAAAATATAAAAATTATCAAGCCAATAAACATGTTAATGGATCGTACGAGCCCATAAACAAGCATCGAGCTCAATAACTCAAAAATATTCGAGCTCGAGCTCAAACCCAGCATTGTAAAAGTTATTCAAGCTCGAACTTGGTATAATTTTTTTCCAGCAGAGCTCGAATGACCAACTACTTGACTCGGCTAGGCTCGTTTACACCCCTAGGGGGAGTACATAAACAAAAAAGGAAATGCAAGAGGACTTTTCAACTTCAAAACATACGTCTAGTCGTCTAACCTGTAATTTATGTTTAATTCCACGCTGCACAACTCGATTACCGCACTGTTTATTGCAGCCACACTTCAGCCAACATTCCTTAATGAAACTCCTCTCTACGTGACCTTTGCAAGGTTCTAAAATCTCCTCATTTTTCGATCGTTCTAGTGGGCATTCCTTGCAATATAACAAACAACGGTTTTGAGGATCACGATTCATTTTTATACACTCGTCTATAAGATCCTCCTTGACAAGGCCCTCGGTTGTATAAGCAAATTCACCCCCACTTTGCAATGCACAGAGACAAGGTGTCGATGATGTTAGACAGTCACCGAAACAATTTGGACAACAGTTGTCATCCCCAATACGAGCCAGTGAAAAGTTAACATAAGCATTCTGGAAAACTGCATTCCGATGCATGTAATGGAAAGATGGAGGACACTCACTGTTGACTTCATTGACCAATGAAATTATCAGACTTTCTTGTCCTTTAGCTATGTCGTTCGCATCATCAAAAGACGTTGTATCATCAGGAGTTGAATGATTGTTGACTACTATCACCAGACTTTCCGACTCCATATTCTCGAATCCATTTTGCTCTATTTGCTTGTCGTTATCGTTCCCATTAGAAGGCGGGGATAGTTTTGGCATTTGAAGCATACCCGCCTCAAGCCCGCCTTTGGTACTGACTGAATCTTTGACATCTGCACATGCTTCTGATGAATCCGTAGGTGGTCTAGCATTTGGTGGTTCATTGGTGGAATCAGATCCAAGATTGAGAAGGCATTCACACATATCGTTCATCAGTTTCTTCACGGAAAAGTTTGGGTCCAGAACTTTGTATGAATTCAAACACTTATCTTCCATTATTTTCAAAACAGCATCTACATTTGGGACAGATAGTTTAGGCTTTCCATGAGCAGGGTTACAACTCAAAACAAGTTTGATCTCCCCAGAGGATGAAGAAGCAATATCTAACTTAGCATTTGATTCATCTAAAATGTTTATGAGCTCACGACCACTTGTTAACGTTTCTTGAACACAGTTGTTTAAATCCTCATTTTCGGCAGATTCCGTTGTCAAGGGCAGAAAATCAGGTTCTCTGATCAGATTACTTTCAGTTTCGGTTGAAGTATCTCCATTGGCCAACGAGTCTGTATATTTAAAGAAACTTGAAGTGAAATATATGGAATGCAAGCACCAATACATATTAATAACCTAATTGCTCGTATGAACACTTAGAACTGCTAGACACTAGGATGCAGCAATGGTCCACTTGACCATTTTTCCGACATGAATACATGGCAAAGTTGGTCAGACAGTCCTTTTGACTAGTGTGCAAGAGCTTTTGCGGTGAAGTCAAGCAACCAAAAGATGTCTACTTCCCGAAAGAAAATATACCCAAGATTCCCGTTCAATGAAGAAAATGCCTTGTATAAGCTGTGCACATAAAAATTTATGAATTGAAGTAGAATGTTTTCACTTACTTCGCAGGTGAAAAGAGATATAGCAGCTGCTAACATGATCCCTAAGGCTTTTGTTGACCAACAAGTCATGGGAAAATGGTACAGATACCTCTCACTCCAAAATCACTTCTTTAGATAAAATTAAGAAATAACAGTATGCTCGTTTTCAAGATGTTAATGTAGAGATGGAATTAGAAATATTTAGGATAGAGGGGGGAACAGGGGAAAACCCCCCATAAAAATGAAAAACTAAGAAACACCCTGGTAACTATTCATCTAGATTGTGTGCACATGTGCATACAAGTAACTAAAGTTGTTTCTTGGTTTTTATGCACGTGTGCATGTTATGCACATGTGCATACCGGACAAATTGCTTACAAATTACTTGTATTATCATGTGCATACCGTCCGGATGAATGGTTACCAAGGTGTTCCTCAGTTTTTCAATTTTTTTTTTTTTTGTGGTTTTCCCCTGAACCTGACCCATTTAAGTTAACACTAAATACAGCCATATTTGATTTACTGAAAAAGTTCATATACTTATCAACATATATTATTCTAATCACATGCTCGTGTGAAGTCTTACATTATGCAATTGCTGTAGTAGAAGCTAGCAAATATGAATTAGATTATAACATTTACTTATTGTGCTCATAAAAGGGATGGTATCACACCAACACATAACCAGAAAGAAACAAGAAGTACCTGGAAAAATCACTGCAAGCGGAACCTCAAACCGGGGACGAGGTGGGTCATCTGTCAGTGGCTCATCTTTTGGTTTTATTAAAGCAAGACCCTTTTGTTTGGGCATAATATCAATCCCTGGTTCAACCTTTGGCTCTTTAAAGCGCACTGCAAGGGATGGCTTATCCGAAGTTAATATATTTTCTCGACGAGCACTCTGTGGGGAAAGATGTTCCTTCCCTTTGCCTTTGGGATTCCTTGAAAGAATATCTGAATCAGAATGAGTTGCATCTGCCACAACTGGGTGAGTTCTCTCGATATCTACTGATTGAGACACACCAGATCCGTCTAGTCGTCCCGATGCATTTGACAAAATGGGTTGTTTCCCCTTGTTCCTAACTCGATTTAGAGGTGAAACAGGCTGGGAATCATTCCTTCTGACAGGCTCTGTTACTGTTGTTGATTGAAGCTGGGGTTGACCATCAAGAAGCTCGTCAACCTCTAATTTTGGCCTTTTCAGTAAAGTTTCGCTTGAATTAGTGCCGGGGTTGATGCTGGAGGGTGAAGCTTGACCGTCTTGGTGTCTTAGACGTAGTCGCTTTAAAGGTCTTTCTGCCTCTTCTTGAATTTGTGTTTCCTCTTCAATAGCTTTCATTCGCTGGTATGACAAGCAGCACCAAGTAAATAAAGGAGAGTTGGGGCATGTTTGTTGGCAGCTTAATGAGCTATTCAATCAGCTTTACATGACTTTTGGTAGTGGCTTCATGATATAGGAAGTGGCTTCCTAAGTAAGCTTCTAGGGGGAGCTTTATGCATAAAGCCAAGTTTTTTTTCCCAAACTGCCTCTCCCAATTAAATTACAAACTCCTTCCATTTATCAAAAAAAAACTCTCCCAAACAAAACCTTCCAATTTAGACAGACAAATCAATACACCCAGACAACCTTATCCATACAGGACTTAATGGAAAACCAACCAAACACCCCCCTAGAGCATCATGCTAAAAATAAATTGAACAATTACTTACTTCAGCTTGCTCAAGTATTTTTTTCTGTTCCGCCTGGAAGATGACCAATCATGAAACAGAGAAAGAAACGTTAGATACTCATGATACGAGCAAAGAACAGGGACAAAATCAGTACATGCCGCCTGTTTGTTGTTTGTTAGTAGCTTAACAAGCTAATGGGACTCACAGCTTATTCGGTCAGCTATACATGATTGTTTGGTAGTGGCTTAATCAGATAGAAAATGGCTTATTCAGTAAGCTTCTAGGGGAGATTTATGCAGAAAACCAAGTTTTTAAAAAACCCACCCATCCCAATTAAAAAAAACACTATCCTTTCTTCTATGAAACAACCCTTCCAAACAAAAGCCTTCTCAATCTAAACAGACAGGTTAATCTATACAGAGAACTTTATCCATACAGCTTATTGGGTCAGCTATAGATGACTATTTATTTGGTAGTGGCTTAATGATATAGAAAGTGGCTTATTTAGTAAGATTCTAGGGGGAACTTTATGCAGAAAGCCAAGTTTTTCCAAACCTATCCCTCCCAATTAAAAATACCTCCTTCCATCTATGAAAAAACCTTCCCAAATTACATAGACAGATTAATCCACACAGACATCTTTATCCATACAAGACTGAATGGAAAACCAACCAAACACCCCCCAAGTTATAGATATCACGTACTTCAGTATTTTCAACTTTTTTCTTCTGTTCTTCTGCCTGGAAAAAGATACCACTCAGAAACTTGGAGACAATAATGATATATAACAGACAGCAATAAAAGGAAAAACTATATTTAGTAACAGAAAAGCATGCCTCCGCCTCGTCAAAAATAGCATCTGCAAGAGCTCTATAATTTTCTTCTTCAATAAGCTCCCAGTTCTTATCGTAAATTTTTAGAAGACGCTTCAAGACTGGTTTCGTTTTTTCTTCAGGGATCCCGAGGCCTCTCATAGCACGGAAGGCCTTAGCAACTCTTGGATTGGGAGCCATAACTTTGCACGTTTTCCTACAACAGGTTCAAAGCATCCGGCACACCTACAATATCACCTAGATCTGTGAGGGAGCAAGATAATTGACGATACAAAAAAAGGGCTGTGCAAGAACAGGATATGAAGTATACAACCACTGGATCATATGACATACTCAAACGAAAAATAGGTCATCTTGTACAAAAGCGTATTGATTTGACCCCATAAGCGGGACCACCACCCAATAGCCCCACGGTTTCATTAGATATCTTACAACTAGAATCCCTCTTTTTTCCGATCCAGTCCCAGTATAAAGATCTTCATTAGTTCGTAAACCGATGTATAGTATAAATAGATGATCAGAAAATCGTCCAAGTTTGTAGTCTTGTGGTAAGAGCCTCTAGTGTCTTTGTAAACTTTGTTTGTTGTGCCAAAATGGTTTTGGGCAGCAGAGTTTTCACTTTGCCAGTTTAGAGTTGCTTCAGCAGCACTGATGGAATTGGGAACTCCTGTTGAACTAATAGTTGTAGGAGTTCTGATTTTCCAATCATGCCAGAGACTGTTAGAATAAAAGGATAAGTATTGAAAACAAGGGAGTAACCCGAAGCAAATCTAGACCCGACCTAAGAAATACGAAAAAGGCCTCAAAATATGAACTAAAAACGAATATCATGATGAGTAGCTTAGTAGCCTGAAAACTTAAAATCTCATACCTAAATCAGAAGGCTATGCCTATCTAGGATAGAACGACAATGCTAGCCCTTTAAGCCTTAGGCTTGCAAAACAACCACCATGAAACTTAAGTTTAGATTTGACGTTTTGCAGCAAGTTAACATATAACCAATAAGTACCAGGCTGCGTTTGGTACATGGGACTAGACTGAATAGAACAAAACAAAATCACTGTTCCATGTTTGGTGTGACATGGGACTGAATGGGACAAAAAAAGCTTTTTTTATCACACCAAAATAGATGGAACAAGGATGAGACATAAACAAAAAATTAACAATCTACCCTCATTTGATATACCCTAATAAGGTATTTGGTTTAATGGTCACCACCGCCCATCGCCGCCATCACCACCACCGGCGGCCACCACATCCACCTCTATATCTAACACTGTTGGCTGCCACCATTGTCGATCATCTCCAGGTCCTCCACCACAACCATCGCCGACCACCACTACGACCGCCCATTGTTGTCACCACCACCACCATTAGCTACCTACCACCGTCCATCACCACCTCTATGTCCACCACATCAACCACCACCTCTACCTCCTCCACAACCACCACTTCCACCTCCATATTCACCACCACCATCACCATCTCAAAATCATCCACAACCACTCACGGCCACCACCCACCATATCCGCCTCAACGTCCACCTCAATCACCAACTCCTCTTTACCACCGGTAACCACCATATGAAATCAATTAAACAACATTTAGGGGCAACTTGTCCAGCCCAGTCATGTCCGGTGCTAGTCGTGCCGAACACCAGACACACAACTTGTCTTGTCCAATATTGTCTTATCCTGTCTTGTCTTGTCCCGTCTAGTTCAGTCGTGTAAGTGTACCAAAAGCTACCCCATAGAAAAATGCCAAAAACAAAAAAATATCTCAATATCATTGTAAAACCCCTTCCCCGAGATGGGAAAAGAGGTTGCATTCAACCAACAGACTATCAACAAGATAGAAGAGATCAATGTTAAACCATATTTAAGATAAGAACATCAAACATCATAAATGTCTTCGGCTAACCTCTTATATGTAAGGCAATTTGAATCCCTTACTCTTTAATTCTCGCTTGAATACCTGCTACAAAAACAATGCAGTTGAGCAAAACACTAAGTGCGCAGATACATAGCAAAACAAATAATCAAGCCAAATACAAAACAAATATATGAATTGAACAACAAATATTTTAACACGGGATTCAAATTTCTAAGTGTACACGTATGTCTGTTTTAGTGTATAACACATACAACATCCAACTTCCAACTTCAATAGCATTGTACTGAAATACCAAGATACCAAGGAATTGAAACCAAAAGAAGATCAAACAAATTGATACTAACATGTCTAATCAAACAATAGCAAAGTGAATATATCCAAACCAAAAATATCAAACAGATAAACTTGTCAAATATCAAAACCATAGATTATGAATATAAACAAGACCGTTTAAAAAAAACCCAATTTTAGCCAACTCAGCACAAAAACCACTTTTCTCGTCTCACAAAGATTTGTATGTAGGGATGGTGATTTTCCCCGACCCGGTGGGGAACCTGGCTCACCCGACCCGAATGGGGATTCTCCGCTAAAACGGGTCCCGAGGTCAAGGCCAGGGTTCCCCGGTAGACTCAAACCGGGGTTGGGGCCGGGATCGGGGCTGGGTAGCATATCCCCCGACACGCCTCGTACCTGGTATATACTTTTATTATTATTATGTATATAATATATATATATATATATATTATTTATTTTCTAAAATTAGGTCTTGACTAGGGACGGGGATCGGGGTTTGACCATAAAATAAACCGGGGATGGGATGTTAATCCCCGTACCCGCCGGGGACCGAGGGCCGTTAACAGAAATTATGGTCGGGGATTAGAAAACCCACCCCGTTGCCATGCCTATTTGTAGTAGACATCTCAAGCTTTTGGCAATTTCTAGCATATTCAACTCAATCAATTGTGTACAACGCCAAAAAGAACTCAAATGAGTATAGATCATAATCAAAGAGACAACTAATCAGATGAAAAATGAATCAAGTAGATACTGTATTGAATAAACGTGAATGGAATAAGTAATCCTTACATGTATTAATGAATCAAATAAACACAAATAGAAATTGGAATTCGTAAATGCATATAACGACTCAAATAAACACAAAAGGCATTAAAAATCCATACCTTTAATATCGTTTACTAAACCTCGATCTTCAAATTTCTTCTTAATCAAACTGAAAGCACATTCGCTACCTTTCTTTCTCTCCAAACCTGTGCGGCGGTGCGTATAGTGTTAGGGTTTTGATAATTAGGATGCTAGCGATTTGCTACTATATTATATTTATAATAGTAAAAGATTTCATTTAACCCCCTTACATAATATTTTATGATCATTATACCTCAAGTAATACATAATGCAACTACAACCCTTAGAGTTAGAACAATAACAAATCACATCCTTTGAAACATAGGGTATCACAATATCCACCCCTTAAAAAGAATTTCATCCTTGATAGTCAAGTTATCAATGCTATCACAAAAATTCATATCACGTCTTCTAAATTTTGAATGCATCTGGTTTTAACTTGCCTTCCTTTATGAAAAATGCATCCTCAAAATCGAATCAAAATATCGGTCAACGAAATCCTCAATACATATGTCATTCTCTAAACTATATAACAACACAGGTTATTACAAACCCTGATTACTAAGATTTCATTATATCCTTAAAAAATATGTTTCACCATGTGCCACATGCTTTCAACACTATTACTAACCTACGGTAATGTTACCTACAATATAGCAAGCGGGCAAAAAAGATATGGATGGATCATTGAATAATAATACAACATCACTAAAAGAAGCAAAACTACATCACAAAGATCTCAGCGGTTTCCTCCGCCAGATCAGAAATACTTGAATCGAGTCTTTTTTAGTTAAAGTCTTATCAGTTTCAACTTTCAAGTCAGTTATCAGCACTTCCTTGATTTTGGTTTCATTGTGTTGGTTATTTTACTTCCATGATCTAGCTTTTGTCTATGCACGATAGTTGTGGTTGTGAATCTAGAAAGAACATGTAGGGAATATGTATTTAATCCCTTCCAAAAAGTGAAATATCATCAGAAAACTATTCCAAACTTTGTAGTGTGTTCTCATGCGAAGAGTCACTTAGTCATTATCACATAAGCTTCGGTTGGGACCTAAAATTGGTATCAAAGCGCCGGTTATAATGAAAACCTACAGATAAAGGATCAAGGCCCTAGAGGTTGGCCTCGTCAGGATGGCATGCAACAACTTGAGATCACATTCCGAAATTCTGCTCTTTATGGGCAAGAAGGATTTGCCTCACAACCTCGACATGAGAACAATGGCAGAAACAAATTTTTTCTTCCAAAATGGCAAACTTTAAATCCCAAGACACGTTAGAGATGACCCAATTGAATGGTTCGACTGTGTGGCTTAATTATTTCAAGGCACGTCAGATAACCAAAAACTCTATCTAGCCACTTTTCATCTTGAACTTCTGTCGCGCTTACCAAAAAGATTCACTTCATAACTTAGAAATTGTTTGTGGATGAACTATGGGCATACTGACACCCTTCACGACTACCAGAAAAGTTTGAGAGGTTGAGTAATCGAGTTCGAGTGGTCACAGAAGGCGCTCGTCACAGTCGCTCGTGGTGGGTTGCGTACTTGAGGTAAGAAATTTCGGTAACAATTCGCATGAAGGAGAGGACAAGCTTGGCAAGCTTGTATGCGGAACAAACAACTACAACAACAAGTGCGAAGCTCACGCCCACCACTACCGACGTTCAACCGGTTAACACTATTCAAAACAACAAAAGCACCAAATGGAAGAGACTATCTTGGGAGGAAAAGCAAAAACGACATATTGTGATAAGTTCACTTTGGGCCATCGATGCAAAAGGCCCCAACTCATGTTGAGGGAAGATAACGTTGACAATGAGGCAAAAGGAGACATTGAAGAGGGTAAACTCGATTCGCCATCTTATCTCAAAATTTCACTATATATTATGGTTGGACAATCGCAAATACCGTGTGCGTTACTGCAAAGATTGGAACTCATGACGTTATGGTTCTCATTACTTGGTTTTGGGTGTCCATGGTTGGAACAACTAGGATCTATTGTTTGTGATTGGAAGAACCAAAGAAGATGTTAAAGTACCATTGATCCAACAAACCTAGATTATATAACAAGGATTCAACGCTCCAATCCTCAGGCAAGAATGTTAAAGCAATATCAAGGAATATGAGGCACAGTGTGGCTCCATTTTTGCAATATGCCCACAACCAACAATTGCGCCGCACCAAACATCCAAGAGTACTTGCAACGAACTGGGTTACTTTTTCCTTGATATTGCTTTTGTTGTGTCGGTTATTTTTACTTCCATGATCTAGCTTTTGTTTATGCATATGGTCATGAATCTAGGAAGAATAGTCAAGTAATATATGTACTTAACCATGGCTACTTCAAAAGTAATTGATTAAAAAATATGAGACATTTAAAAAGTACGATAACTCCACTAATCAGAATAAGCAAAATTACCATTCAAATTTGTATTTGTTGGAGTCTAACACAAGAGCTTAGTGGCAAGAGCCCCCAACCAACCATGCAGAAGGTCATCCGATGTTAATCCATTCTCCCACAAAGACTATATGTTAAATAACTATGTTTTGCATTGAATAAGCACCAGTAAACTAAATCACAATTATGTTATTAATGAGAACTTCCATCTAAACCACTTGAACTTTACTAGTCTAAACTTTCAAAGGGTTCCAAATGAATGAATTTAGACACAATTTCACAACACCAACCAAATCTCAACCGCTAAAACATTCTTTGTGATTGTAGAACTTCACTATATAGAATCACGCTAACTGCTACTTTATGATTCACAAACTCCAAGTCTGCTAGTTAAAACAAATAATAATAAACATCTTACCAACTAACCCCCTCATGCCAATAGGTCAATTTAGACCCAAAACATCTAAATTTCACATCTAGTTACAAGTTAAAATAGCATGCGAAATGTCTTCAAAAGATGGGGAACTCAAAAAAACTAACGATTACAACAAATACTAACAAAACACATGGCAGTATCTTTTTCCTACTACATGATATTTTTTACCACTCCCTTTGTTCCAAATTCAAAAGAAGAGACAACTTGACCCTTGAGATCAAGGGACTAATTTCCAACTTCAAATATACGAATTTCGTAGGGAAAAAACGAAATTATATGTAAACTTGAACTCTATAATTACAACTAGTAATGCCAAAAGAGTTGTTGACTTGATTCCTAGAAAGTTTCACTCTAACCCCAACCCTAGATTTATTCTTTCCATAGCAACTCTTCATTTTGAAAAATACAATATTAACTTCAAAAGCAGAACTCTACCTAAGTAACTTCTTCCCTGGATTAGAGCTCGCTTTAGAGGACTAAAGAAACAGTTTCAAGAAATATATATTTCTATTCATCTAGAACCATAAAAATCAAGAAAATAGCTTTACCCTCCCAGCAGAACACCAAGCATAACTCAACCCAAACAGACCCTCTCAATTATTTTGGTAAAAATGTCAAATAACCAAACCCATTGGCAGGCATCGAGACAAAAGTGATCAGCATATAACAATGTACAGTTTACCAAAGCAACTAACCCTACACGAGTACAAATTCAGTTAAGTTATGAACAAAAACCACAACAACAAACGATTGCTTCTGTATAAAAAAGAGGATTTCAACTAGTCATCTTCTTTAAACAAATACGATCAAAGAAGAGAGAAAACGAATTAAAAAAAATATCAAATTCAAATAGAATGCAGTTGCTCACCATCAACACCCAAGAGTATTTTGCAACGAACTGGTGAGAGTGGGAGTTTCACTGTGTGTGAAGAAGACTGGTAGGGCACGGAGAAAGTGACAGGAAAATTAGGCATTGATGATGATTGGGAGATTTCTTGAGGGTTTGAAGCAAAGGCGCGTGCGGAGGTCGGTCGCCATGGCTCTTCGTTCTCGAATACGCACGCGCTTTGCCGTTCAACAAGGCTTTCTGTTTTTTCTTTTTTGTCGTTTTATAGTTTATATACAACTTTAGTCCCTATGGTTTGTACAAAACTATTAAAGTTGTCTCTTCTTTGCAAAAATTGCAAAACTAGTTATCCACTTTGTTTTGAAAAGAATCTTTAACCCTATTTCCGTTAATTATAGTGTCATTACTTGTACACCAACTTTTTTCTAAATTGAATAGAAAGACAAAAATGGCCCTATAATTAACGAAATTTGAGTTAGGGGTGTTACTAAAGCAAAAAGAATATCACCATGATTATTTTTGCAAATGAGGGACCATTTTCATAGTTTTGTATGAACTACATGGACCAAAATTGTAGTTTACTTTGTATTTTGGAGGTAATTATATTTTTGGTTCATGCACTTTAAAATTCATGATTTACTAGGTCCTTCAATTGAAGTTTTTTTTTTAAGTTTGATGTTCAAACAGAACAGGACATAATAAAACAACTTTTTAATATTTGGTAAAATAAAATTGAACAAAACAAAAAAATGATCAATTATTTTTGATGAGTTGTTTATTTTAATTAATTTATATAATTAATTAAATTATAATAGAATAATTCTTTTTTATAACAAAATGTATCATTTGAAAGT